ATTTAAATTAAAGTTTTTTATTATTATTATTTTGGAGAAGTTTTCCACATAGAAGATTTCACTCTGGTTTGAGCTAGTATGAACAGGCTATGCCAAGTTTATACTAGTGTGACTATTGCAGAAATTTTTTTACTATTGTGGTTGTGTTTAGTATGACAGCTTTTTGTATGTGTAAATGGATTCATGTTAGTAGTTCTAGTAAGTAGTTGTAGGATTTATATGAAAATCTGTAGTGTAATGCATATGACTGATATTACCAAGTGGTAACCATTGTTACTTTTTGTCTTCATTCTATATTCTTTTGATTTTCTGAGCTAGTAGTATGTACTTTCCACTTTCACTGTATATTTGGTTTTTATACTTTGGTCGTTTGGTATGACTATGTTCTATGAGGTATGTAATTTTATTTATTTTGTCTATTAATGTGGTATCTGGTCTGTTTGTTGCGATTGTTTTATCTGTTAATATCGGGTTGTTCTAGTACAGTGCCATTCAGTCATTGGCCGTACGGGCAGCGTACTTAGGCTTCCCTGGGCGTAAATAACTCTGCGGGCAACAAGCCACGTTTTTCTCGGGCAACGGTGCATGTACTTATGCATGTATGTAGTAACTAACCCATCGCTCATCTTAAGTAGACCAATTATGATTCGAAAATATGTAACACATCATTACTAAATATGTGACATCATCACTAGCCCACGACTTCGCCCTCAGCTCTTGCCCGCGGGCATCAGCAGGTGCTGGCTCCCTTCTTGCCTGCCTGACTATTGTCCTAGTATACTTGTGTTGTATTTCTTATGCCTTGTTGTGATATGTATTGTAGGAACCTAGGAAAAAATGAGGGAGAGCTCCAACGGGAATCAAACCCGTGATCTTCGGCTGGCAAGCCAAGACTTTGAGCACTACGTCAATAACGTCCTCCCTATTTTTGCTCGTTGGTTCCTTATTTGGATATGGAGGCCTCGATCCTACAGTATTTGTAGTATAGTTGTATGGTGGTCGTGAATTTGTATTTGTGCATGAGTACGATGTGTATCATCTTCCAGACACTGTAGCGTCTGTTAGTATATTTTACTCCAGTCAACAGTTTACATTCTGATGTAATATGGGCTATTGTTTCTGCATCGATGTTGCATTTGTTGTATTTGTCTGTTGTTAATATGTCATCCTTTATGATGTATTTTCTGTAGTTTCTTGTGTTTATTACTTTTATTCCAGATTAAACGAGATCTTGTTTTAGCCAATTGTATGTGTGTTAATATCTTTGTTTTTTACTATGCTTTACTATACGTTGATGAGCTTTGTGTTTGATGAAGTGTTCTGTTTGTATGTCTGTGTGAAGGCTGAGAGGTGTGTAACTTTTGTCGGTTCTATTAATTGCATTGTGTATGGAATTGTTGGTTTTTGAGTGAAAGTATTGTGTGAGTGTTACTGTTTGTTTGTGTGGAGTGTTTTGATGTCTATTATTCCTTTTTCTCCTAGTTCTTTGGTAAATGGAGTCTCTTTGTACATGCTTTAGGGTGATTATTCTTGTACTAGGTCATGGTTGTTCTCGTGATTCTGTTTAGTTCGTCTAAGTTGTGTCGATCCATTTTATTATGCCAAATGAATTATTACTATTATTATTATTATTATCATCATTATTGTTGTTACTATTATTATTATTATTATTATTATTATTATTATTATTGAATCATACTCTCACATCAATTTTTTGTTAATAAATTTTTATTCGATACTTGGGCTGCGAAGGTACTTTATAGAATGAAATAATTAAACGAAACCATATGAACACCGCATATTTTAATTATTGGTATGTCACGGTAGAATTTATTAGTTATTTACTGGCATCGTAAATTAATAAATATGAGGTTCTATGTATAAAGAGCTAAAAAAATATTTAAATCAGTCTTGTTGACCAAATTTAACTTGCTCAACTAATCAATATCCTTCGAACGTTTATGTTATTAGTATGTTAAGAAGACTCATTGTCTCTTTAGATTTCATCGCTACCGATTTAATACTTGACAATTAAAAATTGATCAGTCCGTCTGACGTTTATCATTGTTTAACTACTTTACACGCTTACCATTATCGCATACCAATGTGCATATACGTTTTATCGTAGGATAAATGGCTGATAAACCTCGTTTAGTAATTAGACGCGCGTTACGACACCACATTAAACATAATATTCATTGACATCTAGCGCGTCGGAGTCGCATCCCTATACACAACTCTCTTGAGTTGATATTAACGGCGCGCGTACAGTGACAATCTCTCTCGTCGGGTGCTTGTTATTCGTTGCCGGAATATTAAAATCCTGGAATGCACTTTTCGACAAAGACTCTAATGTGCACGGCGATGCGACCGTCGCATCGATTTTTAGTGGTCTTGTATTTTGATCTATGTAAGCGTAAATCGTCGCTTCTTTCGTGTACGGTTTACCACCTACCACCCCGCTTCCGTAACCCTGAAGCGTGCTTAAACTACCGCTCCCACTTATGCTTGATAATTTCGTATCGGTAGCTAATGTTGATAATGTTGTTGGTCGTGCTAGACACAGTTCGGTGTACGTTATCTGGCCTGATAACTGAAAAACAAAATAGAAAAAGCTTAACTTCGCAATTCGTTGTATCAAGTGAAAAAACATATAAAATGCATTTCTCTTATTACGACGATTCATTCGCTGACGACAAGTAGCAGTGGATATTCCAGGGGTTTGTTCTGTGGAAGTTTCAGATATAAGAATTGGTCAGGTACGCTAAGTAAAATTCGCGTATACAGGGTGATTCTAGCAACTGGGTCAGGCTACAGCTCTGTTTCAAGTGAAGATAGAAAAAAATCGTGGAGGAAAACGTTGCACTGTTTAACAAGCCCTATCGTCCTATGATACGATTCTTTTCAAAAGTGCATCGGTGCACTTGTAAAGTGCAATTATCTATTTGCTGGAATCACCCTGTATACGAGATGTGCTTAGAACTACAAGTTGAAATCGCGGTGTATCTTGCTAGCATCTTGTGATGCTTATACGCGATCAATTTTCATCGTCCTGCTTTCAAAGGAGGATGCTAAAAAGAAGGCCAATTTTGGCATACGGCAGGAACGAAAAATTTTTTTACAGCATGATTCTACGCATCCTAAGGAACAAAAAATGTAAGTGTCATTTTTCCCAGAAATGATGAGAAAGTTATGAGAAATGCGGTTCAAGGTAAGAGTATGACCATACTTATAACTTATATTCCGTCTCGTTTACTTCGGACGATGGTCTGTTCGTAAATTAACCACTTAGAAACTCATATTGAGTATTGTTTACAAAGATTGTTGTACATTAGTGTTTAATAAAAACCGAAAATAATGAAAAATAATTAATAGTTTTACTCTCAAAAGGACAGTGTAACGGTTTGAATTTAAAAAGGGCGCGTCTTTTACACAAGATCGGCGTGCGTCCGCCGAGCGGCATTGGGAGCGGCGACTGCGCATGCGTCGAGCGAAAAAAAATATGGCGTATTGTATTGCATTAAGACCACGTGCGTAGCGTTTGTTCTCGGTTTTGCCAATAAAAGTAATATAAAATCAGAAAATTCTTTTTCCGTTAACTCTTTTCTGTGCGCGAACAGGCAGCTAGCTTTATGTTTGGTTCGATGTACGTACAGCGACCCAGGCTCGCGTTTCTTATGTTTGGCTCGCAAGAAATATCACGAGTTCTAAGAAGTTAAGGCCTAGAATTTTTCCCAGAACAGTTGCGAGCGTACAGCGATCAGAAATCGGGCAGGACGACTCGTCCTCAGTCGGTGTTTACGAGGCTGTCGAACGACTGCCTCGACGAACGTCGCTTACACTGCGCGATTATAGTCTTGTAGGGAATACATTTCAAGTACACAACGAACAGCTTAGCTTGGGTGAAAAATCAAACGAGAAGCGTGTCTCTGCGAGCTACATAGCTGCAGTTTCACGGTATGTGTATGCGTGAATAATATGTATGTACATATACGTACACAATCGAATGATCGAGTTAATTGAAAATAGAGGAGAGCCTACGTGTAGCTAATTAGATCAATTACTGTAACAATTTCTTTTTATCGTATCCTAAGTTTATTTTTCTTGTAATAAGATGTGTTATAGCTATGAAACAACAACAAATTAGTTTTTTTACTGTTGTCTCCCCGAGACATATACCTATTCTATTCTTTTCTGGAAAAACACTGTCTCTTAGTAAACAATTAAGTCTTTACACACGACCTACTTCGTTGATTATTATTCTAACGACAATATACGACAATTGACACGCAGTGCAGATGATCAGACTTCAGTTTTCCGTAAAACCGGGGGAGGTTAGGTCGCGAACAATCGACGTCTCCAACCTACGCATAGTTCGACAGAACACTGTATACATAGGTATGCATATGTGTATATGTTTAGTAGACTGATATGTGAGATCATACTTTTTCCTCTGGCTTTCCTAGGGGATACACAGTTAAGAAATGCAAATTCTGTTAGTCTTACTTTTTTATTGTATCCCTGTCATGACGATTATTTTATTATATTTACGATAGCTTATTATAATTTTTATCACTTTGAGAATAAATAACTATTGGTTTCTGATTGCTTAGGATATAAGCATTGTGTCATCGAAGAATTCCTTGTTTCGATTAATTTGTCATTAATTATTTTTCATTATTTTTGGTTTTTATTAAACACTAATGTACAACAATCTTTGTAAATAATACTCAATGTGAGTTTCTAAGTGGTTAATTTACGAACAGACCATCGTCCGAAGAAAACGAGACGGAATATACCTTATAAGTGTGGTCATACTCGTACCTTGAACCGCATTTCTCATAACTTTCCCATCATTTCCGGGTCTCAATGTGAGTTTCTAAGTGGTTAATTTACGAACAGACCATCGTCCGAAGAAAACGAGACGGAATATACGTTATAAGTGTGGTCATACTCGTACCTTGAACCGCATTTCTCATAACTTTCCCATCATTTCCGGGAAAAATGGCAATTACATTTTTTCTTCCTTAGGGTGCGTAGAATCATGCTATAAAAAAATTTTTCGTTCCGGCCGTATGCCAAAATGGGCCTATTTTTAACATTCTCCTTTTATATACATATAAGGTTTTTACACTTCTGTCAAGGTTCACCCTTTCAGTTATCCCCATCTTTCACCCTACGGAATTGAAGAAAAGAAGGAGCAGACTTTACAATTTCAGGCAAGAAGCTATTTTATGTTAATCAATCATTACCGTACTCTGTATCAGCGAATAAGTAAGTTTTGCCTGCAACACTTTCGAAACGTTCTTTGAACAGATACAAGCATTGCAATCGCGAAACGAGAAATAAGTAATTCAATTTATTAAATGCTCTAAATGTCAGCTATTAATTCACGTGTAAACATAAAATTGTTCGAAATGCGGAGCAACAGTTTGGAAATTATTGTGACACATGACTCGTGTATTCGTTGGTTGGAACATTATCCTTGCCCAGTCGACGCGTGGATCGACTATATACATACTGTGTAAAATTCAGGAGTTTGCCCGTGGAAGGAATGCGGGTCTGATTAGGTCATATCCCCATAAGTCTACTTTCTCTAACACAGTCATAAAATTAGGGCACATGTATTGTTATTATTAGCCGACGCGATAACATCGACGAATCGGATCATTTAAAATTGCGTGACGTGAGATTTAGGCAGCGCGAGCGAAGTGCTCCTCTTGCCCCTGTACTGCCCCGGGGGCAAACTCCTGAGCTCCGTACAGTACACTGTCGGTGAAAAGTTTCTGACCACTATCTTTTCGTTTTTCAAGTAATTCTCTTAAAAGGGACTGCTGTAAAATAGTTGTTCTGAAACAAGTTTTTTGTTACCGTAGTATGTTTCCCTAAGTTTTACGTCTTTTTATGGTAGTTTAAACCAATGGAATCTGAATTAAGGTAATGATACGAAGGTAGGAGATTTCGCACCATTTCCGCGTAGGAAGGTAATTAGCTTCATTTAACACGGCTTTTAACTATTTTTGGGTCTAGGACGAAATAATTTTTTTATTTATTTCTTATTGTTCTTCGATGAAAGGTGTATTACATTTGATAAGTGAAGGAACGATATCACTAATCGTACGAGAAATTACTTTCCTTGTGAAAATGTGAAATAAAATGGAATACTTGGAATGAAATTACTTACCGATAAAGTTGGATAATTATTATATTCCTGTGAGTAGGGTGACAATCCTTGTAGATGATTCACTTGTTGTATGGATAGCGAAGTCGACGGAAGTCCATCTGGTGTACTTTGTACAGCCAAAGGTGTGCCGGATAGTGATCCCGCCAATTGATAATCTGAACCTTTTAATTCAATGTTTTCTTTAACTATCAAATTATTTATTATTATTTCGTTTAAATGGAATGCTTTAGAATTTATCATCTACACTCGGAAAATGGTGCATTTAAATGTATTCAACGTTATTTCACGGGAACTACGGAAAATTTCGAAATTTCTTTTTATAAAATAACATTGTTACGACAGAGATACAATCTCATACTTGGTCTTTTTTATAAATGGCGTCACTGCGAAAATTGTAAGGTTAGTTTCGCTACGACACGTGCACGATGGACGAAACAGTTATTATTCAATAGTGACATAAAATACACATATGATTGAAAATCAACTGTTTCATGATAGCCAAATGTCGGGTGCATTCTGGTGTCACCTGACTTTCAGTCAACAGCATGTAGTAACGTTTGTAAGAGGTCAAGGCGGCCAAACAATCTTTAAAATTTCCTGTTCTTTAATCACAATTATTAGAGGTGCATGCTTGAAGTTACACTCGCCTGCACATATTGCGACAGATAACGGAGTGTAGAAAGTGTTTTATAAATTTCTAGAACATATATAACGCGTCTCCTTTCTTCTTTTTCGTTTTTCCCCTAATTTTGATGGCTCACCTTGGCACGCGATATTGGCAAGTGTTTTTACTTTATAAGTGGAATATGCCAAAATTAGAGAATAAGCAGTAAAGTAAATATTTTTTGCTCTAAAAAGTAACGAAAAAGTTTTTCAGATAATATATTGGATATAAAAGATACGTCTGGATAGACGATGGTGGGCTTCTATGCTCTGTCGAGATATCTGATATATTAAGTCATCCCATAAGTTCATGCTGAATTTTATACCGAAATTTCGATCAATATTTCAAACATATCTTGAAATTTTATGAAAAAACGTAATCGTTTTTTCGTTTCACAACTTCTTCCCACTTTTTTTTCGTAGAGCCATAATACTGCCTTTGTAAAACTTCTTTGTCTTTTTATTAAAATATTCTTTGCTTTCAGTACGAACTTATGGGATGGCCTAATATTAGTTGGAATTGAATCTTATGTCTGCCTAGACGAAATAATGTGTGCTCAGATTTAATACATTTATTAAAACATTTTTATATCTTTCGAAAATGTGTTACATTTTCTAACATTTTGTTTATTCCACAAATTCAGAAATAACGTAATATTATACCTTTATTTATGGGTACGACATCCGGATTTCTGTCGTCAGTATCGTATAAATCTTCGGAACTAGGCGCGGTGCCCTTTTTTAATGGTAGATCACTCGGTCTCTGTGTCCTTCTTCCGTTTTTCATTTTCATAGCTAATAGAATGGTAACGGTAAACACAAGCAATGCAGCTAGCATTCCAATTAATCCTCCTAATAATGGAGTAAGTTCGAATGGTACCGGAGTCCCTATAAACAAAATGCATACCTTAATATAATCATGTAAAAATATAACAATTATAGCTTATATTACATATATACTGCATACTTGAGAAATTTGAAAAAAATACTATTTGTTAATGTTTCTCGCGATTGTTTGTGTATAGTGTATTCGTGTGCTCAGGAATGCTTAAAATAGCTCTATGTTTGTGATCACACGATTATTTAGCGTTACGGATCTTATCTCTTCTCAAGAGGAGCTTGGAACATTTCTAACTACTTCTAGGCAAATGTGCAATGGACACACGCAGGCTAGATATGGCAATGTTGGTAATTTCCAACAACTAAGGCAATATTACGCGATGTTACTTACCCGTCTGTTTTTCCGCAATTTTCAATGTAAATCCCTCCAATAAAGTAGGCTCACTTCTTCCTTTTGCATTCACAGCGTACAGAACCATATTGAGAATTTTACCTGGTTCTAAATCGTGGACTGTGAATGCAGCATTCTCTTTAGACGTCTTGTTCGCTTGGAGTATTCCTGTATGCTGATCAAACACCTCCAGAAGAAAATGTTGCGGTTGGCCACCATCGAAACCAGCAGAACACTCTACCGAGAGAGACTCAGTTGTTTGATTAGACAGTGTGCAATTGTATAGCGATTCAGGTTTTCCTGCAAAGAACAATTTTTGACAATGTACTGAATTATCATTCTATGAAATATAAAAGTAACCTAATGTGCAACCGTTTTGTAGTCCTAAGTTTCACTCATTTTGACTCACATACACTCGTAGTATGTTGAAGCAATATGAAAGTTGACAGGTTCTCTCATGCAAGAGATCCTGGAATGTACAGTTGGTGGAAATGATATAGCGAGGTTGTAAATTAAAGTATCAACCGTCGGACGGTTGAAGATTCGACATGCGAATAAAAAGCGAAGCCGGGTCACTTTTGACCCATCATAATATTTCTGTCTATGCATCAGAGAATTAATTCTTTTTGTCAAATTTTTATCTAAATACTGCGTTACTCAGTAACTTAAACAAAAAATGGCATTATTAATTGATGGTTGAATGACTTTTAGTAATAGCATGTTGAAAATGCCATAACAGCAGTTATCATACAGTGATAAAAAAATATAGCATCCCATTTAAAAAAAAAAGCAGAGATGATCTTGAAATCTCTTGTACATCTACACTCACGTAAAATGTATTTACATCCCTTTATATCCCCCTCCGTATCATGCGAGTTTTGTATGTAACATTTTTCCATATTATTATAAGTAACAGAAATATTCAGATGGACCAAGTTTCTGCCCCACCTTGTATCTCCCACGAATCTTCTACACACGCAAATAATACGGGTCATAGATGACCCAGCTTCGTCGGCTGAAGGTTAAGCGGCGACACTGATTGATGTAGCTGCACCCAGAGCCGTGGGTCGTTTGCAAATTGATATTTAATATTTCTGCTTACAATCTTTCATTGAACCTCGGTAGTCTCTTGCTCAATAGTAATTAGTGAAAATTGCAGTTGTCAAAGTGGAGGCGCAGACAAATTTTTTAAGTATGATGTAATGGAAAAATCAATTCCGACTTGACATTGGAACGAAGCTCGAGCTTTTTATCTCTCTGATACTGATGTTAAATATGCTTTGACACTGATTTTACAATCTCACTGTATCGCTTCCACCGACTGTACTCTCAGTTTGTTCGACTGAAATCTACCAACGTTTGCTGTTATTTAGAAAGTGTTTTCGGCCAATCTGGTCATTGACCAAGAATTGACTACATCTACGATATCTTTAGGAAAATCGACCCTTTTTATACTGTATAGACGGTATTGCCTTTAAGCAGGCTAGTGTTTTATAGTCGTTAGTAGCCGCTCAAACTGTTATGAAGGTTATTGATGTTCTTTCATGGTACTATGTATTTTTCACCTCATAGTTCAATAGTCAGTGTGAAAATAAGTTTCATATTGTACTATGACCTTAAAGTGATTTTGGATTTAGACATTGGAAACTTTAAAGAATGTACAATTATTTTATTTAAATTCAATTAAATGTTCAAAATAGTACTTGTGAGCAGCAAGAAAAACATTGAAATGTCCAGTGAGTTTTGAAGTTGCTCTTTGAACAAACTCTAGTTAACCCTTCTTTCATGTTTTCTGGATTGATTAGTTTATTTGCCGTATTAGTTTATTTAAATAAGACATGTTTCTTAAATTTATGTCTCTATGATTCGTGAAGGCAGCCTCATTGTTAAATAATACTTCATCGAGAGAAACGTCTATCATTTGTAACCTGCCTCGAGTCCCATTCAGAAAAATCTCCCGTGGAGTTTTCGGTGGAGTGACATGTGATAAGGATTAAGTTTATGTTCATGTAGTATCTGCAATGTCACTTTTCTGAGCGACATTTTTACTGCTGCTGTGAGGATTTGCATTTCCCTGCAGCAAGAATATTGATCGCATGTGTGTTACACTTTTGACTTTTGTAGGCTCTTCATTTGCAACACTACCACTTTCGTAGAACTGTTAGGGTACCCAAAATGGGGTGGGAAATTACTCTCAGTGTAGTCAGACTGGTTCCTTAAGATACTACTAGTGATCTTTCCCGTAAATAAAACCTATACATCATTGAGTAATGCATAATCAAACGAATGTACAATATACAGGGTGAGTTACCTAAAGACTAGAAACTGAAAGATCTTCGAAACTGTTGATTACACCGAAAAATATTTCCGAGAAGAGTTGAATGGTGTCAAGGGAGACTTAATTTAATGTGATTAGTTTTTCCTTAGGTCAGCGCGTAGAGAAGATACGAAGGATAAATTTTTTTTTTAATAGAATCGTATGAATTTAACGCATTAATCGATTCAGTCATTCCGAGTTTACGTCTCTTTCACACGTAATAACGTTATTCACGTTAGTTCCATGAACTGTTTAGATTGATCATAATACTTTTCTTCGTTTCTACCTAAACAATAATCCCCTCTAAGGAAGGAATATATTTTAGAATTGACTTAAAAATACCCAGGAAATGGTCAATAGTTCGTTCAAAACTTCTCAATGAAAACTCTTGGTTGTCAGTAAAATTTCGGCTCTTGGAGAAGGCTATTGTGCCTTCTCTAGAATTCTTGTAAAGGGCAGGACCGTTTCGATAACAAAAGTGAAAAGAAGCTATTCGACGCGATAAGTATAAGCATAGAAAATATTTGACCATATTTCTTAATTTAAATATCAGGACATCGTTTTATCGTAAAATTATAACAATCTATAAACAGTTTAATGTTAATTCCAATTGTTTCGTTAATAGACTTGTAAATTTCACTTACGTGAAGCATTCAAATGTAAACTGTAACTTATTGCTAATTATTTTACAATATTTCACACGTGTACGTACCTGCTGGAATGATATGAAATACACAGGCGTTCTTTTGCTGACCAGCGGTGTTACTCGCCCAACAGAACACAGTGCCATAATCCATTTCTGTGATTGGTCGATAGGTAAGAACGCTTTGACTGTGACGTGTCGAGTTTTTATATCGTGCCTGAGGCACGTCTCTCATTTCTTCTGTATTATTGAAAGCCCAACGAAAACTGTCCGGAGCTGGGTACGCCTCGACTTTGCAAATTACTCGGGCGTCTTCATGACGTGCTACACCGTATATCCGTTTCTGGTCCGGTACACAAATAGGCTTGTCTGCGAAAGGTGAATATAACGTTGAATTTTTTCTTTTTTTTTTTCTTTTTTTTTTACCAAAGGTAATCTTTCACGTGTAAATTATGAACATCGTTAGTTGTTTCGTACGTGTGGGAATGTGTGGAAGGTGAATGAAGTAAAAGTGTGACGTACGGCTCGAATGGTCTGTATGCAAAGGCGCGTAGTATTCATTTGAGTAATTGACCTGAGCGAGTACTGTACAAGCGCTACACGGACAAAAGATTGAATAGTGAGGACGGTAAAGGAAACGCGAGCACTTTGTATATCGTGATCGGTTCGCGCTTACAAGGGAAGATCTCGCGGTGTAACACAAACTTTTCAACGGGAATTTTGTTTGTATTGAATCTCGGATTCGATGTAATTTTTGAAAAATAAATACACAAATGTTTTTCACCCAGTTATTTGTCAATTTATCATTTGAGATGTTTTCACTTTTTTCTGCACCGGATTCAGCTGGATCTTCCGATAAGTTTGACACCTACACTAAAAACTTGTTTGTTTGCCACATCATTTCGCTGGTCACTTTAACGAACAAAACCTTTCGAGAAGGATTTACATTTTTTCACTCTTCGGAACGGTGAGAATTATTTAAAATACGGTCAAGTTTGGTTTTATTTTTGATCAGAATATTGTAAATGTGATTAAAATGATTTGATAATAATAATTTAAAAGATGACAGATCGGGTCAGAGGAGTTTCCTCTGAGAAAGAAATCTCCAAAAGGTATTTAAATAGTTGCGTGTATGATTTGCAGCATTCAAATGTGCACTATTGCATATCGGGTGACCCACAATAATCTATAAGCGTTTACACTTCGGAGGCTACGTTGAGTTGGAAAATTTGCTTTTGAAAAGTTAGTGACGGCGAAGGGGGATACTAAAGAGTGTAATTTTCTTGGGGTTATTTGAAAAATTTACATTCCTTATCAATGGTTCATGGCATTCTCGCGTCATTGTTGATAAGCTAGACGAATTTAAAGTATCTGCGAAGATTGTGAACAGTATAAAATATTGTCAAAAGTAAGAGATATTAGTTTGACGTTTCAATCATTAATAACGTGATTATGCTAGAGATTAGAAGTATCGGTCGCTGCTGGGTGGTATACGATAATTTTCGGAAGTAGGACTTTCTTTAGAAAAAAGAAAAATAAGTGTAAAGTAATATTGAAGTGTCAACAATTCAATATTATCTATATTTTCCTATAGTCGAATGTTTTAATCCCACTTTTTAACTTCGTTCCAAAGTTTTGCTAAAATTCGTCATTTTTCTACGGCACAAAACGTGTTATGAAGGGTAACTCTACTGTGCAGAAAAGTTGGCAATGGGGTGTACTGTTAAAAGGGAAAAATCAAAAATTCCATACATTTATCGGGAAAATCAACGCATACATTTACATGTATGTACATACACTACCAGCCAAAAGTTTGGAATTACCTGTCAATTTACATCAACATTGAATCTGCTGATAATTCTTTTTAGAATTGAGATCCATGTTGCGGAGATCAATAGATTTGAACGATAAAAAATTCATTGAAATGTTCTTAAAATTGTTACCTTTTTTTCTGGGAATTTTTGTGCAACTCGAAATGCACAGTGATCTCAAACTTTTGGTCAGTAGTGTGAAAATGCCTTGGAGAGGTTAATACGCATGGTTTCCATCATAAACGGATTTACTTTACAAAAATGTGCAGATCAAAAGTAATCGCAACACTGTGTTTCTGTAGAATTGAAAAACAAGTTAGTATTTAAGTAACGAAGCATGTGTACTTAATTATACTCTGTCATAATTAAAGTTAAAGGCAAATACATAGACTATACCAAAATGCAAATGATATAAGGGATTGTTTTAATAAGTGATGATAGACGGAGTTTATGTTAGAATTTTATGTCACATGTACTCTTATCAAGTACATTCACAGAATATTCCCGCTCCTCATTAGCTACTATTAATTAGTAACAGCAGATACATGTATACGTATAGCGTAGTAGAGCATACATGATAAATGTATGCAGGGTGTTTCACCGAATCTGTTACAAGCTGATATCTACGAACCTATTAATGGCATCGAGATGATTTTTTAAAACTTCATCGTACGAAGGGGCTTTTAATAGTGAACAAAGAATATCTAGTCTCACTCCAAGTACGAGAAACGGAGGGTAATTTCAATTTTTTAAAGGGGATGTGGGGTAAATATTTATATATTTACATATTACTTAATAAACTAAGTAACTTTTGCTTGAAATGTTTTTCAAAATTATGCATGTATCAAAAGTTACAACGGTTTGAATTGTCTGTACTGGGATTCTAACTTCGATACGTACACGGTGCGGCAAGAAAGTAGTGAGACTAGTAAAAAATACAAAATAATACAATTATTTCCTTCAAAATAATCTCCAAGGAACTCAATGCAACGTTTGCATCGGTCACATAATCGTTTAAAGGAGTTCGAAAATTGTTCTGCCTTAATTTCGTTTAATTGTCTTGTAACACTGTTGAATATCAAACACGGATTGAAATCGTTTACCTTTCAATTTTAATTGTCATTGTGGGAATAAAAAAAAGTGTGCGGGGGCCAAATCAGGAGAGTAAGGAGGGTGATTAAGCACAGGAATTCCCTTCTTAGCTGAAAACGTTATTACGGTTGCTGCATCGTAAAGATTGTGACGGCACGACAAAACAAGACGCGGAGAACACTTCTATACGTTGCAAAACCGAAATATCATCTGCTGTTTATTAGCGGACGCTTTAGATCATATTGCGACGTATCTGTTTCGACCATTCGCATAACATTGTTGCTGCACCGTATGCCAACAGAAATTCAGTCTCATACTTTCTTGCCGCACCGTGTATGTATCACATGTGTCGACAGTACAGGCAGGTCCTAGTAACAGACCTTGTGCAAACAATTCAAACCGTTATAACTTTTGATATGTGCAAAATTTAGAGAAACGTTTTAAGCAAAAGTTACTTAGTTTATCAAGTAATATGTAAATATATAAAAATTTGCGCCGTATTCCCTTTAAAATATTGAAATTACCCTACGTTTTCTATTTTTGTTCACACACTATAAAAGGTCCCTTCATACCATGAAGTTTGAAACAAATATCATTTGGATACCATTAATAGGTTCGTAGATATCGGCTTGCAACTGGTTTGGTGAAACCTAGCATACAAGATAAGTGTATATGTATAATATAATACAGACACAAGTACTTCGTGTGCACAGTGTTAATTTAGAATAATTATAGGTTTTCCAGGTACTTTCTTATAATCTATATTTATAACACAATATACTTAAATGCTTGGTTATCATAGTTAAGAATTTAAGACGAATTGGTACGTTCCTAATAACATGCATACAACACCAATTGATCGAATATTGTCTACTTAATGAAATAGTACAAATACATACGTACGTATGTATAATATTCTTACACTTTACATCAATACTTGTTCAATTGTTTAATTGTACGTAAACAGAAGAAAAGAATTCGATAAATATGTATACAAGAAACTTACACATAATTTTAAGTTCAACGTTATTGCTATGTCCATCTCCCTCGACATTGCTAGCAATGCAGGTATAATTTCCGGCTTGAGAACGACTAACTTGTCTCAAAGCTAAACCATATTTTTGTACTATCACGCCATTTTTTGCATTGTTCTGAATTACATTTCCCTGTAACAGTGCATATATTGGTCAATTAAATTTATAAAATGTCACGTTTATTTAATTTACATTGTTTATATTTCATTCAATTTATATACAAGATGTTTCTTCTAAAACGAACATGAAATATATTATCATTTTGTTTGGTTGTATGAAAATAAATAGAAAAGGGACAATTGTTCTATTTGAAATGGTAGATATTTTGATAAACATTTTTTTTTCAAAGGTCATCAACACATTTTTAAAATATATGAGATATGCTGGTCTGCAAATGGTCCTATATAAAAAAAAATCAAGTTTTCATAGGGAAGAAGAGAAAGTATTGCATGTAATTATATAAACATGTATTTATTTTATTGCGAAGGGTACATTTGCAGGATAAGTTTCTGTGGGGACTCTTAAAGAACCAAACTCATTGTGATATTTTTACTGTACCAGGGCAAGACGCACATACAGTAGTGTCCCGGCTAACTGACCGTGGTTAGAACAATATTTGGCTAGCTATCTAGCCAAATAGGAGGCTTGACCGCTTATTTCCCGCTCGTTTGGCCAGGCGATGGCGTCAGAAGCCTCAAGTTTGCTTTGTTGAACTATACCAGTGAAAAGTTACCATTACATTCTATTTCTTGTGTTCGTATAGTCTAGTTTTATACTTTGTACCACTGGAATCACCTTCTTTCTCTTTAAAAACTCATTTTGTGCTTAAAATTGTTACGTTCTCGTTTTGTCTACTATTTCTCAAGTATAATCTTTTTTTAACATCGCATATTTCCTGTTTATCGCCTGCACTCATTAGCCTATTTCTTCAGTTTCCAATGCTTTTTGTACGAAGGTAGAATCTTTATTTCTATTTTCTGTGATAAGATATGCCACATCGCCTTTTTTTGTAACCGGTTTTCATTTTCTGGCGGATCTCCGTAGTACTGATGTTCCGGAAGTGCTAGTTTGTGCTTTTATTTCTCCGTAAGGTTCTTCCTCATCACCGGTATTTCGTTCCAAGTATTTTTCTTCCGAGTGTTCTTCATCGATTTCATTAATTTCTTTACATCATTAGTGTAAATGCAACTATTTTTGCGTATAATATTTGCGATATTTTTGGAACAAATGTAGTAAGTGAACATACGCGCCAATGTTGGTTTACTAAATTTCATGATGAAGATGTGATGGTACTTCCTATGCTCCGCCACCAGAGGGACGGACCATTGACCTTTCTCACTAGTCCTCACCAAGGCTCCTATAATTATACAGGGTGTCCCAGTTTTTATCGACCAAACTTTGTCAGTATGTTGTATGGGTATAAGTAAGAAAAAAATGTTATATAAACATAGGTCGTTTGAAGCTTTATTAAAAAGTTATAACAGTAATACGAAATATAAAGAGAATGGTAACGAACTTGCGATTTCTATGATACAAGACAAGAATAGTACTGGCAGAAATTGCATTCAACACCTTCAACGATCACAGATTGTAAATACAGCTCACATAAACAGATTAGATGTACATACCTCTGATCTATTCCTATTTTGTATCATAACTGAACATCTGTTACCATTCCCTTCGCATTTCGTATTATTGTTAGAACTTGTTAATAAAGCTTCAAACGACCTATGATTATATAACATTTTTTTCTTACTTATATAACCATAGAACGTATTGACAAAGTTTGATCGGAAAAAACTGCCCGCAACTAAGGCACGGGTCTTCTAAAGATAGCCCTTCTGATGAGTTCACTAGGAGGGTCCAGGGCAAAACACATTTTTCTTTCCCTTTTCTTTTTCGCATATCCTCTCTCTATTTACTTCTTCCTTTCAAAACGAACCGCCATAAAGGTTTTAAACTGCAACGATTGATGATGTTGCGTCGCAAACGCAACCGTTAAGAGTTTGACTTTATGACACGGACGACCAGGCCTGCTATTTTTGAGGGCTTCTAATTTAAATTCTTTTGTGTTTTACTTTTCCTTTCGAAGCGATGTCGAGGACCAGGTGTTCTATGAACGCAGAAACTCGACGCTTTTGTGCGCCATACGCTTTCTACATTTCCTTCAATAGCAATTGAGGTGTCGTAAAGCCACTACACACACACACACACACACAGGTCAGTCCCGTTTGGACTGATCTTCCGCAGGGCCTCACAACACCCCTGCCACGATACCATACCACTACCCCAGCGACTAAGGAAATCCAGGGTGGGCTGAGTACTCCCTACTCACGGAGGACAGCCCATGACGAGGAAGGGTTCCTATTCGTCCTCATAGGCCACGCCCTCAACATAGTTTAATATAAAACTGCGAGTAAGGCCCAACGCGCCTCAATGTCCAACAAAAGTCCAGTAAGATCGGTATTACAATTCAGCGTCAAAGTAGTTCACATTTAACAAATAATTAGACTCATCCAAAATTAAGTTGGCGTGTGATGATGACGTTTTGAAGGAAATTATTACCACAAATTTACGATTCGTGAAACAGTAGAGAAACTTAAGGTGGATCACACAACAGTTTTAGACCATTTATACAAATTTAAAATGATTTCAAAGCTAGATGTAAGTACTTATGAGTATCGCACGAAAAAAGTGCGATCTGCTAGAATAAATGTATGTTACATTAAACACATAAAACTATTTTCAAGATTTTCGTTGGGAAATTCTTTCTCATTCTTCGCATTCCCCAGACATGGTACAATCATTACAAAATTGAAATATGAAAAATATAAGCAGGTTCCTTGAAGCCGAACAATAAATACAACACTTTTTCTTATTAAAACTGATATCTTTTTAAGAAAATGGTATTAAGAGCTTACAGAACCATGAAATACAGTCATAGAAAAAAATGGATACTATATAATTGATTAAATAAAACAACAACACCATAGCAAATTGATTTACTTTTGCATCCACAAAGCTTAAATTAGTTTCTCACCAATTCAATAATTCTCAAAACCACCACGTTTAATCGTAAATGACACAAGAAAATCAGCGATATTTTTTTATAGGTCCATATTTTAGTATATGTAACGCGAAGTATCACACGGTGATACATAGGTCTGTTCTGGTGTTAAGATGGTTTTAAGAAATGTAATTTCATATTTATTGTTGGACATAGGTCGATAATCAGTTATCGATCGTTATGGATAAAGTCGCTCAAAGTGATGTCATGTGTACAGAAAGATGAGTGAGTACTAATGTAAAAAAAAGAAAAGGAACATTATCAGCCTCTGTACCCTGTTGAAACTAACTGCAATGTTGGCGAAACGTCGGAATTCAATAAATTTTGGGTACGACTGAAATCTGAAAGTCTCGAACAACAATTCAAAAAATAATATTAGTATTAATGTTATCGTAATATCAGTTTGTCTCATCTATAAGTGTCAATGCTATTAAGTACGTTAATAATATTTTCTATCTGAGATCTTATATGCTGAGAATATTACAATATTGGAGAACAGTAACGCAAACATTTTGTATAAAAGATTTGTACCATCGTATTTGTGCATCGTTTCCTCCTTGAGTAATGAAACTTTTCCTTTAGTCATTCTTTCGTTACTTTCAAATTCAACAGAAAGGATTTCGATGTCCTGTTTCTCGTCATTCATTGTTGTCATATGGTTCTGGGAACAACGCCGGAAAGCTTTGTCTCCGGGTTTATTTTAGGAAGGCATTTCAAAAAGAGCCGGACTATTTTTCAACAGATGTTGGATGATTGTGTAGGTGAAAGGACGACAGAGCAATGTGTACCAAGTGCCGAAGGATGTTTAAGTGTAAAATATTTATCGAAGAAAACTATAACAGTGATGGATAATGCACTACTATATGAAAGGAAATTCTACAGCGAAAATGTAAAGACCGTTTCTCTTATCGTTCTCAGTGTCTTTCGAGTATTGTGGGAAGAAGTCTTTCTTGCTCCAAAATGCAATACAGAAAAATTCTTACGCAGTTTCTTTTGAATAAAATTATGGAAATTATTTGAAATAAAAATATTTAATTTCAATGGAGTTATGTTTTTTTTTTTAAACGAACGACTTAAAACTGCGAAAACTTTCAGGATGACCTAAAAATAACGCAGTTATCTGGACACAAAGATGTGAAAAATGATTGTGAAAAATAAATGGAACAATTGTAATGATTGCTACTATTGTAACTGTGTGTGTGATGATGATAATATTGACAAGAGATCGCGCAGAACCATTAGTTACGCTCAAACAATGTCAGGATGGAATACAACACTTTTGTATGCAGAGCAACATTCTGAGGCATCTTTTTATAATTTGTGGGTATTATCCAAGTGATGAAATACCGTAATAATGTAATAATGCAAATCATCAGTATCTCTTCCGTTCAGAACTTCGATTTCGCAATAATTTGATTCGATTTGGATCTCACTTATCTCGGATTACTGAGACTTTACTGTACAACGGTGTCTTCTCTTTCCGAAAACTCTTCTGACATTCTAATTCTGTTCAATTAAGAAAACGTAACGAGTTAATTTAGCTAACTCCAATTATTAAAGTAAAATCCTTAAATTGAGAATTTTGATCTATTAAGTTATTTCTACGAAATTATTGCCTGGTAAATTTTTAGCGGTAATCCTATCTTCCAGTTAGGTGCGTAATGAGCGGGAACCGCAGGTGGTTCAGGGCCCAGCCTCCATTGCACGCGGTACCCTGGGGCGGGGCGTAGCGGGGCCCTACTCCTCTAACCCGCCAGTAATAAGAGTCCAAGGGAGGGGCCAGTTTAAGCCCCTCCCTTCGGTCGGGCAGGGAGTTACTGAAAGTATTAGAAAATAATGTTCGGGGCCCCCAGCGTGCTCGACGAGAGTAGTCATGAGGGTTTTAGTGGGTAAGAATCCCACACTACCTTGCTTCTTCCCCCCAGGCAAGATTTTCCCCATGTAAAACAAAAAGGTGCGTAATGAGCTATTACGCAATCTACCAGTATTTACATACATATTTATGTAAAAGTAGGTCAGCAGAAGTGCGCGAGATTTTTCCTGGTTTCAAAGAAACCAAAACATTCCTTTCACTTCCTAATTGCTCTTTGCTCCTCATTATGTGGTAGGGAAACATTTTCTAGTTTCAGATGCATCAAGGAATATAATTCCAAACAATCCAGGTATAGAATGTTTAGAATACTCTAAGTAACATGGAGTAACTCCGAATAAATCAGAATATCTTCGAACAATTCAGGTTTTAATGTATGATTAGCATTTGAATCTGTTCAACTCATTGTCAGTGAATTGTTCACTAGTAAGCATGGACACTTCCTCCATTAATCGCATATTTGTGGATTATTTACGTAGAGAAAAAGACATTAATCTTCTCTACTTGAAAATTTCATAGGTCTTGTTTTAATATGCACTTGTAGATTTTGTGGTGTCGGGCCCGTAGGCAGATTTAATGTTTAGTCGATGATTTCTTTAATGAAGTGTCTCCTGTTATTGAATACTTTGTGCGTCACCAGTTTTTATCAGTGTGCTAGAATTGTTTGCGTAAAACAACCAGATATTCTTAATTAGATTATACATGACAGAATAAGATGAAAATCAAAAATGAAAAAACCGCAAATTTAATTTGGTTTTTTAAATTATAACCATTTTAAAAAAGGGGTTTCAGGATTGGTTGGTGCTTGCCAATGCGCCATATAAAGACTACTATAGGTTAGATAGGGAGGCAATTGTATACTCACCGTAAAAGATAATAACGCACACTAAACAGCGCATTTCATGGAAGCTATGACAAATTTTACTATCTCCACTGCTAAAATATGATTTTGCAGCACTATGTTTAAAAAAATCGCACATTAAATATTAAATTAATGTCTTCATCAAATGTTTTCAAAATTAAATCAACGTCTTCTTCAACGCACCAACCTATCAACGCAAGCTATCCATAAGCTCATGCAAATTGAATATTAAAATGAAAGTCATATACACATACACTGCGTGTATCCACAAAAAATTCACCCATTCACCATGACGCGGTTTCTTTCACAAGTGATCACACACTATTCATTTAATATTGTTATTTTCACGGACAGTGTACTCTGAAACTGATTTTTGAAATATCTGTAAGGAAAAGAACAAATCCAAATTCGCAATTTTACCATTCCTGACTTTCGTTTTATTTTGACATGTAGAATCTCTAGAATTCCACCTGTAGCAGAACACTTTGCGTATACGGCCTTTATAGCTAAATAGTTTATAAAACAATACGTATACAAAATCAAACCGTGTTGTCTGAATTTGTAGTTACCTATTGAAAGTGGAATTTCAGATTACAAGCTTGGTTTCTCATAGTTTCAGAAAGTCTTTGTTACCGTACATTTCAAAACTGTATCATCAAACGACTGTACCAATACAAACGCACAATTTTGATCTTTTATAAAGATGACATTGTGTTAAGAAATAGTATAAATTTCTTGAATGATATTATCAAAACTTATTCAGATGTGAACCTTTACTTGAAGTATAAAATTAAAGTGTATCGTGTCCAACGAAGAAAATTAAGTATATTCCACCAAAACTTACATTATGTTTCCATACAACTTTATAAGCATCAGGATTAGCATGTACTTTGCATTCAAAGTAAACGTCATCACCTTCCTCAATATCATCCGGATTCATGTTCGATCCCAGCTCCAAATGTAAAATTGGTACAACTGCAAGATAAAGAAGAAGGAAATCATTAAGAATATTGTATATACACATGCATTAGTTATCTACAATGTTTTCTATTCTCTAGTTAGAATTTAAGCGATAAAGTAGTATCCTTGAGTTCTTTTCTTAAATGCACCTGCATTTTCGAAAGAGTACATATTAAAATATAAGTTACGATGTAAATTGGATTACATCTTAAGTTAAATTGTTAAATCAATATATTATGTACACAATACAGCTGTATGTATCGAAAAACCATTAAAATTACACCCAGTTTATTTGTATCAGTTTTACGTATTTATCGATTCTCCACCGATTCCTAGAGTTAAATTTTTGATCACGTTTAAGGGGCAACTGGGGCAAGTCCTTAAAGTGCACATTATGCGCCTTTATATATATGCGGTAGCTATAACTTTCGACCAGACTGAGATATTGAAATGAAGTTTACATTGAAATAGTACAAAAATTAAAAATTACCAATAATATATCTTCTCTAATCCATAGTTTAACAGAAATATTGCATTTCTTCTCGAAAACGTTGTTGCTGAATTTGAAGTAAAAACGTAATGTATATAAATATATAATATACAAACAGTTTATTTTATGCTCTTTCAAAAGATTTCGAGTCATAACATAAAATACGATTACTAATCCAAGCGGGGAATGGAGTATTCAGACTAAAGTAACAATTTTCGTACAAAATAATGCTTCGGTATTGCTTAGAGTGCAATTTAATTTCACAAAATTGTGTATTTTATAGCTTTCTAACTGCTTGTATATTAACATAATATTTCTATTTATCATCTTTATATT